AAATACGTCTAATTGTGAATTTCAAAATTAGAATCATGGGATAATTTAATGGGGCAATTAAGGGAGAGCATGATTGGGGGGGGGGGGGGGGGAGGCGGGCATGCTCAGGAGAAAGAGTGGGAATTATGGGGGAGAGGGGGCGGTTTCCTAAAAACGTTGGTGATGAGTGGAAAGTATTTGAAAACTCACTATTAAATAAATTGAAATTGACTCAATCATGTAAAACTTCCTATTGGATTCCAAATTTGGAAAGAAATTCAAAATTTGAATCTTCAAATTTCAAATTCCACAATGGGATGCTGGAGTGGAGGTTGGCCGGGAGAGGGAATGGGCGCGGGAGGTGGTCGGGTGGCTGGATTGGGGTGACCGGCGGTTGGGGAAAACCCTAGGGCCGGCGGCAAAGAAGCAAGGCCAGGGGAAATTTTGAAAATGAGGGTCTCTAGGGGAAATAAGATTTAAGCAAGCAAAGTAATAATAAACTAAGAATAACTAGAGAACTCGATAAAAGAAGATCTCAAGGGGAGCAACTCACCAAAAGAGAAACCTCATGCAACTCACTAAGAGAACAAAGCTTGGAAAAATTTTTCATTCAATCATATCAAAATACAAAAATCTAGCCTTAATATAGGCTCCCAACATACGAAAATAAAAGACTACAATGCCCTTGGGCAAACAAACAAAACACTACTTCCCTCATGGGGGTACAAACGGAAAAGACAAAATATAAATGACATGAATACAATAAGACATCAAAAATAAAAGACTCTGAATCAGGCCGTCGATCGACATCTCTCGGGATGGTACCACTGTCGGAATCTGATGTCCCTCATGCACAGTTGTATCCACAATGCTGGAGGGCATTCCATGCAAACTTGAAGTAAAACTAGAATCAGAATCTCCACTTGTTAACTGTATTTATCGTATTTGTCACCATTTATAACTGTTTTTATAAATACACTAATTATAATGACAAAAAAAATATTACAAATGCATTGCTTTTACTTTACTCTGGATATATCTAACCAAACAAGGGAAACAGTTCTCCTGTGTTTACTTTGCAGACAACCAAACAACCTCAAAGTATTTGGAATGAACTACATTTACTTTACACTGCGTTTACTTCGCAGGCAACCAAATAGCCCCTTACTCTCAAAGAAAATACGAAGAACATACAATACAAGTCGGTTTCTAAAGTTTTATAATATGAAAGACACGAAAAACCATCCAAAAAATTAAAAATTGTCATTTTGAGCGTATACGATCGTACAATACGATCATAATTCGTACGTACGAACAATTCAAAAACTGCTACGTACGAACCTGCACGAAAATTTTCGTGCGCGATAATCATCGTACTGTATAAACTGTTAAGAAATTTTTTTTGATTCGTTGGGACGAAAAGACGCCCCACATTTTCGTACTATGGGCGTCGTCTGTACGAACAAGGCATCGTATAGTACGATCCATTAAAAAATATTTGGGATTCGTCGGGACGAAAAGGGACCCGTTCTTTTCGTACTCTGGATGTCGTTTGTACGAAGATTAGTTCATACAGTACGATCAGTTTCAAAAAATTAAGAGATCGACGAGACGAACAAGAACGTATCTATTTCGTACTATGAACGCCGTATGTACGAAGGTCACTTTGTACAATACGAACAACACTTAAAAAATTGTCTTAGCACAGTTCGTCTAACTGCACGTAGGAGGAAATAATTGAACAAATCGTCCCGTATGAAATCAAATCGTACAATACAATTAGTTTAAAAAATTACAAATTTTAAACACTCCCCTAGTGTGTGTGCACAGTTACTCAATTACAATCATACTTTCTCAGACTCCATAAAAATAAAAATACAGACTTCATCTACAATGAACTATAATCTAATCTGATTTGAAGTCTTCAATAGTTTGGAGTAAGATTTCTCTGAAATGTTAATGCACACAAACAACAAAAGCACTATATCCAATATATGCTAGGAGAAACAGTAATTAAAACAATGAGATTTGAAATCATCAAAAACACATATGTTACAATAATCTCAACATTCAAAAAACTAAGTTGCAACAATCTCAACAGTTAGACTGCATGAGATTCTTGAATCGATAGTTTCTGATGGAGACAAGATGTTTCTTAGTTAAATTTGGAGGGAGTTATTCAGGGTACAGAGAACAATTCTTAAGAGAAGCACTGCTTACCACCCACAGACGGACGGACAAACAGAGGTTGTCAACAGAAGCCTGGAGACTTACTTGAGGTCTTTGCTTCGGAAACACCACGGATGTGGACCAAATGGTTAGCCTAGGCCGAATACTGGTACAATACCTTGTACCACTCAGCGTCTCAGTGACCCCTTTTAAAGTCCTATATGGAAGGGACCCCCCACATTTAGTACACTTAAGGAAATGAAGCAAACAAGTTTTCTCAGTAGAGCAGTACTTGGAAGAGAGGGATAAGGTGTTTGGAGGATTTGAAGAAATATCTGTTGAGGGCACAACAGATCATGAAGAAGCAGGCAGATGCACATAGGAGAGACATCCAGCTTGAAGTGGGGGAGAAGGTGATGAGGGCATCAGATTTCGACATGTGTACCATCGCTGGGGACGACGATCGACGGCCCTGATTCAGAGCCTTTATCTATGATGCTTTAGTTCTTTTCTTTTATTAGTTATTTCATGTTTCCGTTTGTACCCCTATGAGGGATGTTTCACTTATTGTAGCCCAAGGGCATTTGTGACTTTATGCTTTTATTTTTCTGTAAGCCTATATATAAAGGCTTGTATCATTGTATTGGATTATTGATTGAATGAAAATTTTTCAAGTTTTGTTCTCTTTGTGAGTGCATGAGGTTCTCTTGGTGAGTGCTTCCCCTTGAGATCTCTTTCTTAAAATTGCGTCCCTGCAAATAGAGGACAGTGGCCAATAAAAGAAACGAGAAATTATCCCCGAGGTACTTTGGACCCTACGAGATATTAGACAAGATTGGAGCAGGGGTATATCGTTTGAAATTACCCCCATCCGCCACCATACACCCAGTCTTTCATGTGTCACAGTTGAGGAGAGCTCTTGACGAGCATACAATTAATGCAGATTTACCAGCAACTTTGACAGAGGAATTGGAAGTGGTCCTTGAACCACTGGAGTTAAAAGGGGTGCGGTCGGATAAGGAGGGGAACAAAGAAGTGCTTATTAAAGGGAGGGATCTTCCTGACTTCGACGCTACTTAGGAACCATATGAGAGGGTGAAGCATCAATTTCCCTCATTTCACCTTGAGGATAAGGTGGGTCTTTGGGAGGGGGGTAATGTTAGGGCCCAACCTGAACCTGTTTGCTATAGGAGGTGGGCCCTAAAGGGGATAGAAATGGGAATGGAGGGCAACACATGGGTGGGGCCCAAGCATTGATGGGAGCTTGGGTTTGGGGAGAAAATTCAAATGTGGAGGGGGGGTTTAGGGATTATGCATTAAATAATTGTATGGTGCTTTAAGTATTCTAGTTTTGATTAGGGTTAGGGGGATCTTGAATTGGAGCTGAAATTTGAGACCTATTGTGTTTGTTTTTGGGGCTCTAAGCATGGGCTAGAGTTTAGAGAGTGGAATCTTCCTATTGAATTGAAGATTCATTGTTTTAGAGTGTTTCTTTTCAACTATTAGTGAATTTCAAGTGTTGTTTGTGGGATTTTCCTACAGTTTTTCATCAAAATCTGCTCATCTTGCTGTTTTTCTCTGAATTTTTACAAGTTTTCCTTATTTTGGTGGCTGTTTTCTATCAGATTATCAAGGTTATATTTTAGAAATTATCAAACAAGCTAGATTGCATTCATTCATTCTCTTGAGGGGAAGAGTGAAACACTTTATCTACTTTTTACCAGCTGGGATCCACTCTTACCAATACTTTCACCCCCTTTCCTTCTTATTCCACTAATGCCTCGTTGATCCCTGTGGATCCATAATATCTACTAATCAATGTATGTGCCCTTGTAATTTTTACTTCCTGATTTTATTTATTTTCTATTAGAAATTCTCAAATGATTATGTAAACACTACATAAATGTTAGAATGATGCACTAAACTATTCCCCAATCCTTGTCAATATAAATCACATATGAAGCTTAATAACAATAAAAGAAAAATAAAGATTGATAGTAACAAAAGAAATAACCTCCTCAATTAGCGTTATTTAGCCATTAGAGCTAATAATATTTAAAAATAAACATTGATAATAACATAAGAAGCTTAAGAATATATTAATTTCTAGTATGAAAAGATCTTAAAAATAAAAAATACAACAACAACAACAACACAAGCCTTTATCCCACTACGTGGGGTCGGCAAAAATAAAAATAAAAAATAAAACAAAATAATTTAAATTATTTTGGAGAGATAAAACTAAAGGCTTAGGGCCATTACCATTAGTTGCAATGCCTGAGTAAGGAAACTATGGAATATTTGGATGCCAGGGATAGAGGATAAAGAATTGTAGTGGTTACATCACAGAGGATCGGTGAAGAGGAGCCTCCATCACTCAAAAGATGTTCGGCAAAGATGATAGATGAAAAACTAATCTACAATGCAAATATTATTGGTGAAGAGAATTGACATCGAGATGTTCATTTGAAGAAGCTACTAGAGCTTGGAAGAGGAAGAATTGAAGAAATACCTTGGAAGTTTAGAAGCGAGTACAAAATTAATTGCATCTAGTAGTGTTTCTACCAGCACTCTTTTTTCAATTTCCTCTCTCTCTCTCTCTCTCTCTCTCTCTCTCTCTCTCTCTCTCCCCCTCCAAAATCTCATCCTATCTGGAAGCTTAAAGGAAAACCCCATTCATTGATCGTGTTTCATTCAATTGGAATGATCTTTTAGTCATTGTTGCATGCCGGTTACCTTCATTTAATATGCTGTTTACTATTAAATTCTGACATACTGTTAAGTTCCAAGGGTTTGTAAAATTTTCAATTGATAGTAATCAAAATGCCTGTGTTTGGAAAAACACATTTGCAAAGTGGAATAAAAACTTATATTTAGTGCAAGAAATTGTTATGGACACTTTACCCAATAAGTACAAATTTAGGAGATAAATGGTTAAAATTTACTACACACATTTATTCTGAGATGATAATTAGGCTTTAGTACCTCCTCTTGTGATACCAGCAATTATGCTTTGTTGCTTTCTTCATCTTTTTTGATAGTTAAGCATCTTTATGGAAAATCCAAACAGGAAAGCAAATAATATTGCAAACCCAACAACTACAACTGCAACTACTCTTAAAAACTCATGTTTGAACCCGAAGTAATGCCTTATAAAATCAGCAACAGCCTCACCACCAACATGCTTATCTTTTACATCTCCAAACTGTGAAACAACCAATCCATACAAAGTCCATGCGACAGGACAAGCCCAAGAATACCATCTCCACCACACAGGCATACTCTGTTGAAGGATAAAATTTTCAAATTTTTTATGGCTTTCAATATAACCAACGTAATAGGATTTCAGAGTGCGAGAACTTACAGGGCGTGGAATGACAAATCCCGAGAAGAGATTCCATATTGCATAGAATGCTGATGATACTATGGCGGCTATGTTATAATTTGGAGTCAGCCCTACTGCCATCATTCCATAATATGTGTAGTACAGGAATGTGAAAAACATGAAGAACATGTACCAAAAGAACTTGGTAGCCGTCCATTCAAACCCTATCATTGAGTAAACAATGATTGCATACGTTATAGCCTGGACCAAGATGTATGGAATCTCAATCGCAACCTGCAGTTCATTAAACTTTCCTGAAGATTTCAAGTAGAAGATGAATGTTTCTGGATATATTTGGATATGAGAAACTTGATTTTTTATTTTTTAATGTACTTGTATTTTGAACTTCTGTATTGTACTTAAACAGTGAAAGAGAACTAACCTGCCCAAATGCATATGGTAATGTTGAGTACATTCCTGTTGCTCTTTCCCTGTAAAAGACTATTTTTTCAATTGCAACTACTGGTTGAACAGTGGAAGCATTCGAAACCCCAAGGAAAATAACAGAAGAATACATGGATCCCATAGCATTGAATAGATCTTGCTGTTTGTCCCTGTGATATAAAGTTTTTTAAGAGCAATGTAAGCCTAAAATTGACTTGATGGGATGAGGATGGCGCACTTTCAGTTTTGCCAAAGCTATCACAAACTTACATTCTTTTACCAAGATCCCAGAATATTGTACCAAACAACAAAGCAATAATCCATGTGAACAAAAACCTGACTGCTGTATAAGAAGTATTCCTCCAATATGAAAGCCATTGTTTCCAAAAGCAAGCCTTGCACTGTGTAATGAAGGACTGCGAGTATTGTGTGGGAAAGTAAAGGTCACTTGAATTAGGAGGTGGTGCGCTAAGCTCTTTGATCAAAGTTTTGTTCCTTCTGCATAGCAACATGAAACCAGACATAAAACTATTCAAATCCGATAGGCGATAGCTAAAGTTAGCTTTTGGAAAGTTTAAGCAGGCTACTTACTGAAACAATTCGGAGTTCTTATAGACCTCGCTAAAATCTATCCCCAAGATTTCTTCTTGAGCAATTGTGGTGACTTCTAACATCCATGTTGCGGGATTATAGCTATCTTTAATCTTTTTTACACCATCAATTCCCTGATAAAAGTAAGTTATTAGTGTTAATCTTCCTTGGATACCTTGCATGGGTAAAATGCTTTCTTTCCTCACCTCAAAGTAGCTTATTAGATGACAAGAATGGTAACCCAGTGGACCTACATATATCTCTTGCCCACCTCTCTTCATGAGGAAAAGCTGCAATCAGATAAAGAAGATATCACTGCAATATGGTCTATACTCTATACAGCTTGCCTAAATAGAGAGATTCAATCACGCTTACAACAGTTTAATCTTTCACCTCATCAAATGCTTCAAATATATCAATACTAGGCTGATGAATAGTACAAACCACTGTTCTCCCAGTATCAACAGTATTCCTGACAGTCCTCATCACAATAGCAGCAGCCCGAGCATCAAGCCCGGAGGTAGGCTCATCCATGAAAATAATTGAGGGATTAGCAACAAGTTCAACTGCGATTGTCAGTCTTTTGCGTTGCTCAGTTGATAATCCATTTATACCTGGAATTCCCACTAATGCTTCCTTTAATGGTGTAAGTTCCACAAGCTCCATTACCTCTTCTACAAATTTCTGTTAAACAAATACTTGATCAGTGAGTTCATGGAGTTTTTTATCAGTAGCTATCAAAATGACATTGCATTATTTGTCCAATTACCTTTCTTGTTACAGAATCAACTTCATTAGGCAATCGAAGCCATGCTGAGTATATGATAGACTCATAAACAGTCACATGAGGGGAGTGAATGTCATTCTGTTCGCAGTAACCTGATACTCGAGCAAATGTTTTTTGCTTTTTTGGATAGCCATTTACAAATATGTTTCCATCTATATATCCAACTGTTTTTCTTCCAGCTAGGACATCCATCAAGGTAGTCTTCCCTGCACCACTAACGCCCATCAATGCTGTTAGCACCCCTGGACGGAATGATCCACTTACACCCTTTAGTAGCTCTAAACGGTCTTCTTGAATGCCTTTTGCCTTCATTTCCTGAAAATAAGGAATTCTTTTCGTAAGAAAAAATATTTATTGGAAAAAATAAGAGCAGCAATAGTATGTTGAACTACCTTTGGCATGTCCACTGAGTATCGTACATTGTCAAAGGTAATGGAGAGCGGTGCAAAAGGAAGAACCATTCCTTTCTTATTTTCATTGACTTCACTGTCAACTTGTGTGCTTATGTGCCTGACTTTGTTTGCAGTTTCTGTAAGAAAAATGCTTTGCTTAGATAGGTTAGAGTAGAAGTGGCATAAAGTTATAAGAAACAACTCCTTGAACATCGTAATTACCCTTGGTTTTGGACTGATCATCAAAGCTATTATCTGCTATTAATGATTGGTTTGTTGCTCTTGTTATATTTTCCTGCTGCTCCTTTAGGGTTTCTTCAGATATTGTTGGCTGCGCTTTTGTAAATGCTGTGGTTTATAAGAAAATGTTCTTCAGTGTACTTATTCTTGTGAGTTCTAAAGCTTTGACATAATTATAGAGATGTTAACTATCATGGGAAAAAAAAACTCACGTTTCAGATAGGTGAGAGCCACGACAAAGAGGAAATTGAAGAGGATTACATATCCAACCAACACACCCAGACCAATCCAATACCATTTTGCTTCAGGGAATATTCCACGAGACTTCAAGATAGATACTCCTAGAGGCTCTGATGACCCCGGAAGAATCTATAGATCCATTATCAAACATAAAAGATAAGAATGCTGGGCATCTACGGTAATATTTTTGAACTTATCCTTTTGAATGATATGGATTTTTATGTACAGGATTAAATCTTTACGCAAAGGACTCATCTGTTAAAATTTTATGTTGGAATAAGTTTGCCATGTCTGGTGTGCTAGATTAAAATCTGTTTTTGATATTTTTGATAAATTGGTGGCTTTAGTTAGCATAGAAAATAACACAATCAGGATTAATAACACAAGAAATATGTTGAACAAAATTAAATTTCTTTGCTATGTTAACTTTTTTTTTTAGAAAATCAACACTTATGTAGATTTTACGTACACTATTTTTTCAAGTTGGACAATGGAACTATTGTAGCTATCATGTGGATTGCTGAATTCAGAGATCAACTTACATGATTCCAGCTCTTTGCAAGGAACTCATTCGTTGAGATTGCATTCAGAGCATACATCAAAGGTGAGATCCAGTAACCCCAAATCCACCATTTCTTTATATCATCTGCCAAGGATTAAAAAAAATGTTGGATCAATACAGAAGCCAACAAAATAAAACCAGTGAGGTATCTAGCTTGAGCTAAAATTACACTTAGAGTTACTAGGAAGTATGCACCATGTGATAGAACGAAACCACCCAAGATCATAAGCACAAGCAATGAGAATGATCCAAATGTATTGGCAACGATCATCACTCTCCCTAATGCAGCAAGGAAACGGAATAGTCCTGATGCCATTTGGTTGACGATTAGGAGCAGAAAATACTGTTTAAAAAGCCTGCATGGAGATAGTCTTATACTGTTAGTTTAATAATTTTTTGTAAGATTGATCAAACCATTTCTAAAGATGGATTTGACATTGTTCTACCTTCCAACAGCAGGATCAAATCCTATGACATAATAAGTGACAAACACCCAAACTCCGACTTCAATGAAAGATATAGGAATCTTTAGAATCCATGATGGAAGTGCATATGCCCATGCTGGATAAAAGAGGTAGTCTCTTTGTTTGTAGAACACCGGGAGCTTCATAATGGTCAACGAAAGGTCTGAAAATCCATTAAACATGATCATAACTATTGAGAAGAAGAGTGCACCCATGTGAATGCCCCCGTTTGCAACTGAATCACGATGAATGTTTGTCCTTAAGAATAGTGTCATAACAACGAATGACATGATCATGAGCTGGTGAGAGAACTATAGTCAATTGGTATATCATAGATCATGTTAAAACATTAACCGCGGTTGAAAATGTCACTTGCCTGAAAAGCTCTAAATACATATACAAAAGAATTACGTTTCATCAGTAACCATTCTCGTGAAATACATATTTTTAATAACTCCCTCCTACTAACACCATATTTTGTTGTTGTTAGAGCAGCAGGATGGCTTTTGGTCTTGTCAAATGAGATTGACAGCTCAGTCCTCAATTGCTCACCAACGTGGAATGAGTGGAATGCCTCGTTGAATTCATTTGCAGTCACAAATCTATAAGTTTCATCTTCGAGTGTCCAGTATTGTTGTTGATCTTTTCTTGAAGTGACCTGAAAGCCAATTAGATTTTGTTATCACCTTAAAGTTTCATAGTATGTTGTCTACTAATTTTGAACCTACTTCCTGTAAGAAGTCTGCTACCCCTTTTCTCTCTGGGCATTTGAAACCCATTGTCTCAAAGAACTCCAGGACATGCTCTCGAGGACCCTGGTAGACAATCTGACCATCTGAGAGAAGAATTATATCATCAAAGAGGGAAAAAGTTTCGGGCGCTGGCTGGAGCAAGGAAATGACCGCTGTGCCATTTAGTATGTGAATAGAATGTTTTAATGAATTCACAATCTGAAAAGTTGTCGAGCTGTCGAGGCCAGTGGATATCTCATCCATGAATAAAACTTTTGTAGGCCCAACAATCATTTCACCTGTGTCAAAGATTGAATGGTCATTTAACATAAACTGAGAGGTAAACCACAAAAAGGATGCAATCAAAAAAATTATATCACGAGAAGTAGAATATGTTATATTCTCATAGACTAATATCATTATTTGATCTACCTGTTGTGACCCGTTTCTTTTGTCCACCTGAAATGCCTCTTCTCATGTTATCTCCAACTATGGTGTCAGCACAAACTTCCAAATCTAAAAGCTGTAAGAACAAATGTAGATAGAAAAAGATTTAATCATCTGTATAAAGAATGACCATCTTCCCTTTCGGCAAATATGTTTATATTTTGTATGTGTTTATTTGGTGCCAATTATTGTTATATACCTTCAACATGTAATCTGTGATTATGCTGGCCCTCTGATGCTCGATAAAAGTTGCCTGTAGTTTATGGAAGTTAGCTTGCTTTACAGTGGGAAAATTTTATCATAACACCTACTCTGGATGAATTTTAATTAATCACATCAATGATCCAGTGTATAAAAATGTAAGATGAGTTTATTTCAACACCTTCATAAATACATCAACATCATGGTCTGGCTTTATGTGTGCTTCCTTCTCTCTTCTTGCTAGTTCTTCTAACATGTCTACAAAATTTTCAACAAATATATTAAGCTTTTTTTTTTTCTTCTGAACAATATGTCGAAATATGTGTTACTGATTGCTAAGATATAATAATTAAGCCACCATAACGAGCACCGACTCCCTGACATCTTGCAGAGAATTCTAAAGTTTCACGAACTGTCATCTCCCCAAGATGGACATCATGCTGACTAATATAGGTAGCAGTTCTTTGGGGCACAAATTCTTCCATTTGATGGCCATTGTAAGTTATTTTTCCTGAAATCTTTCCCCCCAAAATAGAATAATATATGATGTTAATATGTTGGTTAAGGGTTCATGAAAAAGGAATATTATACTAAGGCTTCGTTTGTGACAGCTTCCTTACTGTTTCATAAAGTAGCTTTTTAGTACAAAAATTAAAATTTTTATACTAGAAAGTTGTTTTATGAAACAGTAAGAAAGCCGTCCCAAATGAAGTCGACGGCTTTCTTTTTTGCTTCTTAAAGCATTTTTTTAGTATAAAAAAAGAAAAAAATTTGTAATAGAAAACTGCATTAAGAAGCAATAATAAAGCCGCCCCAAACGAAACCTAAGTGGGAGGTTTATCATCACCTTAATATCGGAGCCTAACTTTCCTGCCAGTGCTAGCAATAAAGTTGTCTTTCCCGAGGCTGGGGGTCCTAGGAGTAAAGTCATCCTGCAATTTTCAAAATGTAACTTCATCCACAGGAGAAACGACATTTCATTTCAATTTCATTTCTATAGCTAGAAGTAGAAACTAGAGCAATACCTTCGAGGCTTGATGATTCCACTAACATCATTAAGTATAGTTAATGGTTTCTTCTTGCTTGGTAATATACGGAGGTAGTTGGCAAAGCCCTGTTACGACAAAATGAAATTTAAACTAAGCATTTCCATCATGATATAACCATACATTATTTTTCAGTGTTTTCTTATCATATTTTATGATTACCTCCAGGGCATTTAAAGTAAAATTTAAGAAGGTTGGTGTTCCTCTATTTCCCACAATTGCTTCTGCTTCAATTCTGAGGTTCTCATAACGCACTTCTATGGTGGGTAGCTCAATTCCAACACTGAAAGAAACCCATGCAGAGATTTTGAAAAAAAAAAAAAACATTGACAGACGCTGATAATGTTTACCTATCGATGCGGTCCTTGAGCTTCAACAACAGTCTCTCGTGATCTTCCTCCGCAACTCTTACCAGTCTCTGTAGCAATTCCCTTCTTTGTTCAGGCGCAAGGTTTTCTATGTCAACTTCCTTAGTTCCTTCTTCCAAGTGGAGTAAGCCCTTGTGCAGTCGACTATAGGTTGGAAGCTTTTCAAGTGCTGCCCATTTGAGAACCTCAAGGTCATCTTCTTCCTTTACCGATTTAGTGAAGGCATCCTCTCCTCCCCAAATTTTTGAGCTCCCTAGTCTTCTTAGGCTACTTAATCTTATTGATTCCCCAACCTCCATTGAAACCAGTAAACTCTCAATCTCTTCTTATCTCCTTCCTCTTCTAGTTACAGCAGAAAAAAAAAAAGTAAGAAACGAAGATGAAAACATCTCTCCTTCTCAGCTTTGCGTGTGTTCTACCTTTCAAAATTATTGCAATGGCTGGAATGGGATGGGTTTGTAGAGTGTTTTAAATAGGTTCATAAGCGCTGGAGAAAACAAAGTAGGAATGCTACTTGAACATTATTTAGTGTCACGTTTCACAACTAGTATTTCAATAGTTTCCTGCAAACAAGATCATGTTGTATTCTTTTGATCTTGACCAAGTTGCGCCTCTCCTATCTTTCCACCCGCACAAAAAAAAAAAAAAAAAAGTCTTGTTCTTTTTTTGTGTAGAATTTAGCTACTTCTATATTCCCATGCAATTCAAATAAATTCTTATGTGCGGAGTTCGGACAGGAAGAATCGTTCGGATATGTGAGTGTATATGCAGTACGTATCAAACACCACTTGTATACAGTATATACACTCAAAGTCCGGACGATTCTTCATGTCTGAACTTCACAATAATTTCTCTATAATTTGGTTCCCAAAAAATTGCTTTTCATTCAAATTTTGCCATGTTTGCCATTTCAGTTATGTGAGTTCTCTGCTTAGTGGATGGAAAAGTGGCCAATATACATACAAAATGCCTTCCCGCATTAAAAAGCTGAGAGAGACAGATCACCAGTCCTCAGTGCCGGAGCTCCTTTAGTTTAATAAAACAATGCCACTCCCACCACCTGCCACATGTCTTGATGGAGCTATGGTAGCCACATGGCATCCGGTGAGAGTATGGTCGGGGAAAGGTCCAGTGGTCAGTGGATTATTAATTTAAACACACCATCAATCTTCCAAGAAGTGCTCATCATTTTAGGGAAATTATTACGTGCGGCGTCCGGATTCGTCCGTGGCGAATCCGGATGTGCCACATCATCCGGGACCAGTGCATCCGGGTGGTGTGGCACGTCCGAATTCACCTCCGACCAGTCCGAACACCGCACGTAATAATCTCTCATCATCATTTTGACATTTCTAGTTGAGACACTGTATTGGAGGATGGTCCAACCCACAAAACATATAATGAGATTAAAGGGTTGAGATAATGCTTTTTAGGTGAGTTTTTGGCTTTGTTTGGAATAGATTTTTTTATTATTTTCTAAAGCAGCTTTTTAGGAAATAATTTTTTCTTTAACAAAAATTTCTTGCATTAAAAAACTATTTTAAAAAATAATAATAAAGCTGTTCCAAATGGAACTTTCATTCCATTTATTTCTTCTTTGGCTTCTGATGACATTCATGTAATTAGATAAAACAAAGGATTGAAGCAAGCACTGATCCAAGAGCTTGCTTGATTCAGAGAACCACAGGAATTCAAAAGGAATCGAAACTTTTATTTTGATTAGAACTAAATAAATTAAAATTGGCTAGCTGCAAAAGTTGGTCTAAGGGCCTAAAATTCACACAGATTTATTCCCTTTTCAGCCTGTTTTTTTTTTTGGGAATTAAATTTTTTTTTTGGGGAAGTAGTTCCCAGAAAAAGTAAAATGATTGCTTGGGTTGACTTTGAACAAGTAATCATTTCTTAGGCCATTTAAGCCGCATCAAATTCTGTGCTATACACAACTCTCCTTGCCCTATTGGTTGAGAGCTTAGGCTTCCAATTAAGAGGTCCAGGGTTCGAGTCTATGTGTATGCGTTGTGTGTGTGAGTTTGCCTTAAATGGCCTAAATGTCCCAAAAAAAAAAAATTCTGTGCTATTGTGTTGTCCTAAACTTCGTTAAAGCTGATACAAACGTTTATAACTTTCTCACAGTTTTTTAAAATAAAAATTTTAATTTTTTAATTAAAAAGCTGCTTTAAGAAGCAACAAAAAAGCCATCCCAATACAAACTTTTATAACTTTTTCATTTAAATCATGAATTTGAAGTTTATAATTCAAAAGCTATCTATTAGAAGTTAGTGAGAAATTGTGTGATAAAAAAAAAACTTGATCATAAGCACCAATTCATGCTACAATTTCTTCACAATGAGAACCCTAAATCTCAAAGCTGCCATGCAAACTAAGCCTTAGTTTGCATCAGGTCACCTGACAGAGAGATGCGTTCGGTCTCTCTCTGTCTACAGTAACCTGACGCAATAATTTGCCTAGTTTGACGCAGCTTTTTTATTGCTTCTTAAAACAACTTTTTAGTATAAAAATCTAAAAAATTGCTTTAAAAAGCAGCAAAAAATCCATTTCAAACAAACCGTAAGAGAGAACATATAATCCACATTCCATAGATGGCGATGGCCTTCACTCATTCAGAATTTTTTATTTTTATTTTAATTTGAGGGGTGAGGATTTTACCTGAGAAAGTGAAGTCCGGCGACCTTCTCCTCTCGATCGGCGTCTGCCACTGCCGTCGTTTCCTTTCAATTTGCAAAGCAGGAGTTTGCTTTTTCTTATAAATGGGGAATTCCATCAGATTCAGCGACAGTTGCGCGGCCTAAGCGCTTTTGACGAGGACTCAAAAGGATTAGAGAGAGGACGACAATTAATATGAGACTCACTTTCATTAATTGGAGAAAAAGGTTAAGAAACCGTTGCATAATTTGGGATGGCGCTTTTATTGTTTTGATTTTTAGATAGTAATCAACTAGCCATAATATTTATTTCAAAAAAAAGTTTATGGGCCCATCGGGTTTAGCTGGATTGTTAGGCGAGCATGATTGGGAACCCGCCAACCCATATTCAATTCCCCTTTCCTGAGGTGCGGCCCTTTAAGTGGGCAGAAAATAATTGATGGTTCTGCACCTGTCAGGTTGATTGTCTGTAGGCTCGTCAAAAGATTAGTTATGCCACCAAGCGCCTCATAAGGAGGATAGCAGCTGATAGATACACATTGCAAAAAAGAAAAAAGTTAAAAAATTATTTTTTATAATAATTGATAAAAAATTACTTCTCTATAATAGCTTTGTAATTTATATTTAAAAAAAGGCGGACCTAAATTCTTATTTTATATATGAATTTATTTAAAAATGGCAACATTACTTACTATATTATTCTTTTTCATTTTATCTACCTATGATAAAAAGCAGAAAAAATGTATTTGAATTGGATTAATCTTAGCAAATATTTAAAAATTTGAAGACTTATCTTGATATATTTTACAGTAGAAAATTCTGACATAATTTTTTTTGCCGTCAAAGCATGTTATAAACCTTTTAGATAAGAAAAATCATATGTTTTATATGTTTTTAATAAAATATTTTGCCATTTTTTAAAATAGGTAAGAAATAAATATATGAAAGTGTACTTTTTCTTTGAATATATGCATTTGAGTATGGGGTTATTTGTATTTTTATAAATATGTTGAAAAAATAGCAATTATATAAAAAATATGGGGTTATTTGTATTTTTATAAATAAGTTGAAAATATAATAATTATATAAAGAAAGTAGCACACAATCGAATAGAAAATAAAAACAAAATGCCAGAAATAAAAATGCTCTTAGATGAAAATAGCTTTCACATATAATGTTTTTCTTTATTATAATCGACATGGGCGGATCCCCATGGTAGTGAGGGGGGGGGGGCAAATGTCCACGCTCAAAATTTTTTTTTTTTAAATTTTAAAGAGGATATTTTGAAATATTTTTGATATTTTGGGTATTTTGTCCCCTCTTAAAAAAAAATTTTGTCCTAATTTTATCAATCCTAAGCGTCTTTGTCCATCCCCCGCCAAAAAATTTTTTTTTGCCCACCCTGAAAAAAAGAAGTTGGAACCGCCCCTGATAATCGATTGGGAACTTGTAATGAAATCTTTTAAATTGGTAGTTCAAATGGGCTAATCTATCCTATTTTAGCCCATTTAATTACTTGGGCCTTCATTGCCCACATAGGCCTGAGCCAGTCCAGATTAGAAGTGATGAGTTTTTGTGGCCTGCTTTAGATTTCACTAATAAAATTAATATCTCAAATCACTTAATTTGTTAATCTAATTAAAATCAATTCTAACATGTTTCAGCCTAAGTTTCAACTGAGGATATTTTGGTGCTTTGAGAAAATGACTCTAAAGCCAATCCATAGCCATCTACTTCTAATTTTTTTATAATGTTAGAATATCCTTATATAATTATATTAAGTTGATATAAAAATTATTAGATTTATTTTGAATTCAATATAATATAAATACTGTATACACGGGGGCGGAAACAACCTTAATTTTTAGATGGGGCAAACTTATAAGTAACTGTCAGGGGTCAAGGGGCAGCGCCCCTACGATGTTTTTAGGAAAATTTTGATTAAAAGTATTTTTGGAATTCAAATTAATTGATAAAATGATGAATTCTCTTTACTATTTGATGGAGACAATTACCTTAATATCATAATATTTTAAAATTTTAGGGGTGACAATTGCTTAAAACTATTGTAATAAAGACTAAAAAATAGATGAAGAGGACAAATTACTTAAAGAATAATATAATAAAGAATTTTTTTTAAAAAATTTTTATTTTTTTTTTTAAATTTTCTAAAGAATAATCATGCGTTTTTAATGTTGAAGTAACTCGTGATAGATAAATTTAGAGAGAAACTCCTTAGATAGTTTGGCCACATAAAACATTGACCTTTCCATTTAGGATAGTAGAAAAAAAAAAAAGAAATAACCTATGTTAAGAGAGATAGAAATAGACCTAAATATTTGATTAGAAAATATTAAAAATGACTTTTATTTGTTGGATTTAAATGAGAATTTAACTTTTAATAGAACAAAATAAAGAAAAATGATTCATGTAACAGATCCCTTGTAACACGATAAAGATTTGAGTTGTTATAGTAGCATAGCAGAAACCTTGAGGAATCATTAAACAAATTGCCTTACCCGGAAGTATCTAAAGAGATTGCACAAATGGTGACCCTATATGAGGAATTTTTATTAGGTGCAGAGTGCGCACCGTCCTCACAAGTACTGGGTACCCAGCGGTACCGAGTGCGGGTACCGCTAGGTACCCAATACTTGTGCGGATGGTTCTCCGCATCCGCACTCCGCACCTAATAATCTCTCCTATATGAGAGGTAACCCAGCTGGAAAGGCGACGTATAGAAATGGCTTTAGAGAAAGCAAATCAAATATTGCTTCTGATCAAATTAATGCAGAAAAGCAAGAGAAGCAGAAAAAATCAAAAGTGATGGCAGCAATGAATTCCATAGGTCTTAGTATTAACAGAAGAACAAAGAACAAAACGGATTTACATTGTGAGAGAGACCCCAGGAAACTTATTTCATTCAGTTCATTCCCTTTCAAAAGAAAGAGAATTGAACAAATAAGAATAAAAATCGAGGATTATTGATGATGTCGACCATGCTAATGCAATCTTCATGTCTTATTTTACATCTAGTATGATATATTTGACTATTGTTGTATAGGAGTGTCAATTCAAGTCAATATGTAGGATTTAAGTCGAATCTAACTTGACCCTCCATAAACGGGTCAACCTGAACCCGACATGCGAACGAGATTTGGAGATCGGATTCAGACGCGGCTCGAGCGAGGGCAAGGTTGTGAGAGCTGCACGAGCTTGCGACGTGCCGGGGCGTGCCTGCGAGGCTTCAAGCACGATATGGCTCTACGGTTTGACTCGAGATGAAGAGACCGGCGATTGGGCCGAGCCTGACTAGGAGTGGGCGATGCTGATGCGACCACGCGAGGGTGGGACGACCACTGCGGCTCCGTAGTTCGACCAATAGACATGAGGGCTAGAGCAAGGCTGCGACTACGCGAGTTGGCACTTCACATTCAGGTCAATTTCAGGTTATTGGATTGACCCGAACTCGATCCATTTTTTAAACGGGTTGAAAATTAAACTCATACCTGACCCGTTTGTTAAATGGCTCAATCCTAACAAGGATTTTTTGAATCGGCTGTCGGATCGTGTCAATAATTGACATCCCAATGCTCCAAGTTAGAAAGAGATAAGTTACTCATTTTCTAGCCACTAACATAGTATTTGTTTGAGACAGTTTTTTTTTTCTTCTTAAAACAACTTTTTAATTTTTTTTTTAATTTTTATATTAAATTTTTTTAAAAAAATTAATAAGAAAACTACCCAAAATAAAGCTAATATATTCATGAAACAAATTATATGATCTCTATAAAAATAACGGCTATATTTTGTATATCGAATCTAACACAGCGCTCACCCTTTTCATCAAAGCACACAGCAAATACACAAAAATATAACAATAAATGAGCTAAACAAACTTTATTACACAAGATTTAAATTTCACTAATTTTTCGCATTCCACTAATTAATATCATTTTTAATATTATCACAAAATAATATATCTATGGCGAGCAACCAACGCCACCGCAGAATCAGCCCTTGCCCGCCAGGCCGAGGCTGAAATTAGTGAGCGGCCATGCCAGCTGAGTGACAGGCATCCTTCAACCTCTTCCACACCGTATCCCTCGCTGGAGAACAGCTTCAGCAGCATGCTTGCTTGCCGGAAGGCGTTCGAACCGAGATGCATGGGCTCGAAGCCCGCCCGGCCCAATCTAACCCGCCATCTCCCCATAGGCTCATGCCTCTCGACCCGCTCAGATCCCTCGCAGCACACTATGTTGCAGATTTCTCTTTGTAGATAAACTTCAGCTGCGGCGGAGCAGCCGCCATCGCCGCCGCCTGCCGCGAGGGAGTCGAATAAAGTGGAGTAATAGAACAGAGCTTCGGTGAACCGGTCTAGGAAGGCCGGCTTATTGTGGTCCGCGTCCTGCTCGACCACGGTTAGGATTTTGGGCCGGAGCTCGCGGATCAAGGTAAGCACCGAGTCGATCGGGCCGGTTTCGCTAAGGAGGAGGTGGAGCTGAAGCACGGAGTTGATAGCCACCGCCTCTCCCGGCTTGACCCGGACGCTGTCGAGTCGGCCGGCGGCGACGGCTTGGAAGGTGAATGGGACGCCGACGGAACGGGCAAATTCGGCTAGCCGGAGGCCCACCTTAGCGGTCTTCGGCCCGATCCCGGTGAGACGAAGGGCGGGCGGGCCGCCGGGCCGGAGGGCTAGGGCTTGGATTAGGGCAGGCCATTGGAGGCCGTGCATAAGGCTGAGATCGATGACGTGGACGCGATCACAGCCGTTGAATGCCTCTAATATCGCCTGGTTCGCGGTGAAATGAGCGAATTTAAGATTAGGGCACGCCTCGTAGAAATGGCTGTAGAGAATTTCATCCTCCAACACAGTTTTGGTTGGTTGAGGAAGGAAGCTGATGCGACGATCTAGGGCATCGAGAAAGAATATGGAGACCTTTCCGATGCCGTATCCGACGCCAATGAGGGGGAGGAGGAGGCGCATCTCGTCAATGAGTGATCTCGCGAGGACCAGATCGTCGCGTTGGATCGAGTCGGCGCAGGTCATGAGGAGGTGGACCAGGCGGATTCCGGCGTCCTCCTCTTTTCCCAGCCGATGAGCATCGATGGAGAATGAAGACGGCGGCGGAAGACAGGTAGCATCCGTCCACAAGGAGGGAGAGGAGTGGGGTGGCACCTCGGTGAGGAGGGAGTCGATCCAGGAGGCGAGATCGGATGGGTTATAGTGGATTGCGCTAGAGCAGAGAAATTCCGGCGGGACTCCGCTGGCAGCGGCGGCGATAATGGTGGAGTCGAGCTTCTCGAGTCGATCCGCAACATGGTGGAGGTCGGATGAACGGACAGTGTAGCCGACGCCGGCGAGGAGAGTGTCAGTTTCCGAAGCCGACGAGGAGTCTTCGTCAGTTGGTTTCGGATGGTAGGGATTACGGCCCATAGCAAAAGTATTTCGAGGTAGTAAGGGGTCGTATCTATAGCATTCTTGGGCTTGTTATAAAGAGCAGTAAGATCCTCAATGTTAAACTCCTTATAAAAAATTGGCGAAATAATCCAATTTTTTTAGGAGGATTTACATAATTATTATTTTATTTCATACTATTTATATATCTGACATATAAAATATTAATATTACACGTATATTCTTCATAGAACAAATATGAATGTATAAAATGAAATATTAAACTTTATATGGTGATATTAGTAGTAGAAATGAAATATATTTGTAATATATTTGATATTACTATTGTATATGGGTAGTATGTATATAATATTAATGTTTTTGGTGTTAGATATATAAATATTATGGAATAAAATGGTATGTATGTAAATCCCTTTTTTTAATGAACTTTTTTTTTAAAAAGAAATCCAAGGAACTTGCAATTAAGATTAGATAGTCATTTTAGATGATTTGGCCATATAAAGCTTAAACCTTTCAAGGGAACAATTATTAGGTCCTCCGACCGGACGTAGAGCTACGTCCGGTCGGAGCTAAAATCGCGCCAAAAAATGAGAAATATCGAGCAATACCAAACAATAACGAGGAATACCATCATGTGAAGACCCAATACCGAGTTATACCGAGCTATATCGAGCAATACCGAGTTATACAAAAAAATAAAGAGTTTTTCCTAGAAGAAATTCAGTATTGCTCGGTATTGGTCTTCACAGAGTGGTATTCCTTGTTATTACCAAATAATACCTAGCAATACCGAGCAAATACCGAGTTTTTTAGCGGGATTTTAGTGTCGACCGGACGTTCTTCTACGTCCAGTCGGAGGACCTATGACCTGAATAAGAGAGTATATTTTTTAGATTTGGCCTATATAACAAAGGTTGAGGTAGATCTAAAAAGATTTAGTTAGAGAGTAATAAAAATGATATTTATTTATTATATTTAAATAAGAATTTGATTCTTAATAGGATATAATACAAAAAAATGATTCATATAATTAATCTCATATAGCAGGATTTTGTTGTTATTGTACCTTGTTGCCGGTTAAACTAACGAAATGGTTCCAATATGACTTATTGTAACCTATTTAGCCATCTAAATGTTTATTATCATTTTAAAAATATTTTTTCAGTGCTAGATGTTTGATATTGGTTATATAATTTAAATATTTTTATCTATATTTTGAGTCTAATATATATTTAAAAAGCGTTTTTTTCCGAGTTTTTTGACGGGATTTTAGTGTAGACCGGACGTTCTTCTACGTCCAGTCGGAGGACCTATGACCTGAATAAGAGAGTATATTTTTTAGATTTGGCCTATATAACAAAGGTTGAGGTAGATCTAAAAAGATTTAGTTAGAGAGAAATAAAAATGACATTTATTTATTATTTTAAATAAGAATTTGATTCTTAATAGGATATAATGCAAAAAAAATGATTCATATAATTGATCTCATATAGCAGGATTTTGTTGTTATTGTACCTTGTTGCCGGTTAAACTAACGAAATGGTTCCAATATGACTTATTGTAACCTATTTAACCATCTAAATGTTTATTATCATTTTTAAAAATATTTTTTCAGTGCTAGATGTTTGATATTGGTTATATAATTTAAATATTTTTATCTATATTTTGAGTCTAATATATATTTTAAAAGCGTTTTTTTAGAGTGTAACATGTTTATATATGTTTTTATATTTTTTATACAAATATTTTCTATATTTTTTTAATACTTTTTTTTAGAGTATATTACATGTTTATATATTTTTGTATACAAATATTTTCTATAATTTTTAATACTTTTTTTAGAGTATATTCTTCTAAATTTTATTTTAGTTGAATTATCTAAGAATTTTTTTTGTGAGTATACTATATTTTTGTATTCTTTTGATAAGTTTATCTCACCTAACTCAAAAAATATTAAAACTTTTTCTTAATATCCCAACTTCTTATTTTTGAAGCTGTATACCATTTTATTTGATATAAAGTGTATAAACATTTTTTGTAAGACTTTTTATTAGATTTTTTTTTAATAAAAGTAAATGATATATCATATAGTGTTTTGTTGCTAAATTTGATATGAAGTATGCTATAATTTATATTATCCTTTTTTTAAGTATAGTGACATCACATTATTTTTTCCTCAGTGGATTAGATTGCACATAAGAAAACTATTGCTGTGATATTTTATCATATCTTTTGGAGATTAACTTTCATCAATTTGATTGCTTCTTGATTACTTTTTTTATGTTCTATTTCATGTTCAATATTGATTGAAGTTAACATTGTTAGGTGGATTTTATTTTATTTTTTACCAATTCCTTCACTACAATCTTATTAATAAGGTATACATTTATTTTTATAATATGGAGCATTTGTCCATGCTCATCATTCTTCATCATCATTTTTTGGAGCTTGCAAATGTACACAACATAATACTCTTATTGTTCTTATAAATGCTTTGAGTTTCATTGATCTTTTTACTTGCAAAATTCAATTTTTATAGTTTAGTGTTACTATTTTTTCTATTTCAATGATGGCGACAAAGAGGTTGATGAATGATCTTTCAACTCATTATAAATATATGTATGACACAGTAATGTCTGACAATTAAAAGTGCATCATAAGATGCAATGTTGACTGTAAGCTTTAGTTCTTTTCCTTGAATGATAAATGCCAATTGAAGATCAACACAAATTTTTGTGGTCAATATTTGATGAGCTTTTGAGAGTCAATGGTGAGGAGGGAGAGTTGTACATTACTAATTCAAATTCTTGTTTATATTAATCCTCCTTAATATTGGAGGATGTACACAAGTTGTTGAGAATTAGTAGATATGTTTTCATTAGCATATTAAAAATTACAAGCCCAATAACTATTTGAACTAAAGGATTTTGTTTGGTTCTATCGTGTGCTTCTATATATGAGTTTTTTTGCGTCTTCACGAACAAGTTCAGACTATATATGTCATGCACCATAATCTCAATCACACAATCTTGATTCTTTGTCATAATTTGAAATCATTAAAATCATATATAATGAGCTAAAGAGCTCATCTTGTCATTAAATCTTACAAACGAACTTAAAGTACCTTAAAGAAGCAGCATGCATGTCATTAATCAATCCATAATTATAACACAATCACTATGATCATGAATGTGTGCAGAAATAGTAGGACTCACTTATAGTAGTATGATCTGTGAAACATTAGAATAGTACGGAAGCCAATAAAACAGTACAATTCATAAACCAATAAATTAATACGGGTGTTGATTTAATAAAACAGTATTAGTAACAGTACTTATTTATAAGGAAATCATATAAAAATTAATATAATTATAACCTTGATGAAGATTGTCGAAATCATATCAGTATATTAAATCATATAATAGTCTATAAATGCTATCCAACTATTCTATAGTAGTATCATATCAGTATTTATATCAGTATAATAACCACTTATTCAATATATCAAATAAGAGGAAAATAGTAAATCGGTAAATAATAATAATATCAATGAATCAATATTAGAATCAATGAACAGTAACAGTATCGTCAATGATAATAACAATAAAGCAATATAATAACAGTAATAGTAAATCCATACAATGATATTAAATTAGTGTTGTAATAATAGTAAGGTCATACAGTAACAATGAATCAATAACATGCATTACAGTAATTGCACTAAACAAGTAAAGAGTCCTAACATAGCGATGTTTTTTCAATAATAAGTATGTTGTTAATAACCATTGGCTTAGTAAAGGTAGTCTCCACTCTTTGCTCTTCCGGTCAGAAATAACTCCTTATAATTCTCAATAAATCATGTGAATCAGTTAAGGATAGCATCAAACTAAAATATTTAAAAGAAAGTCCGTCGACCCACCATCCTGTATAGGTAAATCAGTTTAAGCCAACATCAATAAAATTAGCCTTTTACTTGTCCCTATACATATTATTTCACATTATTTTAAATGTATTAACAACGAGTTATTATCCAATCACATTTTCATTTTCATTCACAATACTTGTATTAACATTATACTTAAAAAAATGCTCAAATTTCTATTAAGTGTAAACCGTACAATATACAATGACTTTTAATTTACGTAACGAAATCATGAAATCATCCAATCAAAATGCTTGAATAATCAGCACTATAACATATAAAAAGTTATACGACTGAAGTGCACTAAATAAAAAAAAATATATAATAAATTCAATTTAAAAGAATTTGAATGATCAAAATCAAAATTGTTAAAAATTAATAGAGATAGGATATAAGTCACCTACCTCGATCTGAAAATTTTGTGTAAAAATGGCAAAGAGGATCGATGAACAAAAATCAAATTTCTCTTTCTCATTCCTTCATTCCCCTTTCTCCTTACCCAACTTGAAACTCGGCCCTATTTTTCAGGTTTGGTCGACCCGTTTTCCATATGGGTAAGGTTCAGGTTGACACAAAAATTCAAAGGTGACCCAAATTGACCTGTGCTCTCTTGTGTCTGAACCCGTGCACTCAGACCCGTGCTTGAGGCAAATCATTCTGCAACGCTCTTCCCCGCTCACCAATGCCCGTAGGCTCGTAGTGTTCCCATGTTTTCATCGAATAACTTTTTTATTATATTACTCAATCATATGTTTATATTCATTCATAATGTTGTATCAACAATATGCTTAAATAAAAATATTTACATCAATTCAGAGAAAGTCATACTAATTTTATCCGATGAAATTCAAAATTGTTACCGTCAAAATATTTAGGATAATAAATAAAATAACATACAAAAATTTATACAATAAAAGTTAAATAAAGTAAGAAAAATATAATAAAAATCAGTTTTGAGGAGAAATCCGCAATCAAAATTAAAATCTTTGATAACAGAGATAGAATTAAAATCACATACATGGATTTGAACTTATTTTGTAAAAGAAACAAAGCGATCCGGAGACCAAAAATTTAAATTTCTTTCTCGATCTCCGCTGCGCTGCAATTCAAATAGGAATTCTGATTTATTTTTTCATTTTCAAATATTTTCAAAATTTTGGATTGTTATAAGGTCAACTCAATAACCCGCACGAGTCAGATCTAGATCAGACATTTTGACCACTTATAAAATCGGCTCATCAGAGGTTCCCCAAAAGAGTA